AAGGTTGCCTAAATTTCACCTGTCTATCGTAAGACGTTGGTAGGCATTATTTTAATTTCTTTCTTTCATGTCAAGAGAAAGCAATGGAATGAAATGGAATGTTTGTAAATAGAACATGTTATTGTGCGCCATCTGATACCCTGACAGTTGGAGCAAGCCAACCTATTTCTAGCAACATTGGACAGAATCGAAATGAATCATCTTCTGATGATTCTATCTATAAACACAGGAAACAATGGAAATAGAATGTTTCACAAGACGGTGGTCAAGTTGTTTTGTAAAGAGTCAGAGGCATCGTTTGTTAGAAGCAGAAGGGACAGTTCGAACCACCAATCCAACCAAAAAGAAAAGTATAATAATCGAAAAAGCAAGGCAGGAGATTTCAAGAGAATAATAATACAGAGGGTTTCTGTTCACATCACAAAATTATCCCAGTGGTGTTGAATTTATTTAGTTCTGTGCAATATGTAGAAAGGGGAAGGAAAAACATATGATAGAATATCTTGCATTAATAGGATTCCAATTGGCATGTTAATAAATTGCTTGATAATAAAGTACCAGTAGTATTAAGAAATTTCTGCGTAAGTTGCAGGGATAAGATCTTATATTATTAGTTATCATTTTTCACTTTGCCCTTGTAGCGTTTTAGAAGGCTTTTATGAAATGAAAAGTTGGTACTTAGTGATTTACTTCATATTTTCTTAGTACGTCATAGTGTTTTCAGTAATTTGACGTATTTTATTAAGGAAGTTGTTTTAAAGGTACGCAATGAATGAGGCGTGAAAATGATTAAATAACGAAGAGAAATATTTTACGAAGGAAAATATTTTTTTTCAATGAATTAAACAATATTTTTTTTCTTTTTCACCTCGAAATATTGTATTAATGTTATTTTCAATAAACAGACTTGTTTTACCAATTTGTTTATTGCCACTCGTGTTTTTATTTTCGATCCAATTTACGACACAGTCTAAATTGAGCAACCGTATGCTAATGTGGACCGATAGCATCTTTTCAGCTTGTCCCCTTTCCTCCTTATCAGAAACAATGTATAACTAATTATATTTTATAATGAAAGTACATAGATTATATAAACTTTTGATTTATTTTGTTTTACTTGAATATTTAACGAGAGCATGGAAATTAAAAATACAAAATCATTCTGAATTAGGCAACTTCTAGGAATATTGGAGCTAAGAGACACGTTACACGAATAATAGTGAGATTGTACGTCAAAACACGAATACATTCTCATAATTTCTAGTAAATAGGGAAGTTAATGTATTATAGTTTTTTTAAAATGCATTTAAATTTAATACTTTCTTTTAAACAAATCTGAAATATGTCGGAACAAGATGCAATATTCACTTGCTTGAAATCCTCACGTACAATATTTTTTTTTGTATTCGTACCATGTTAAAATTTGGTTTGGGGTGAATAATTTGAGGTTTTGGCTTGGTAGATATTTGACTATGTTTGTCGTACATCATTCATAATAAAAATATTAGTGTGTGTGTGTTTTTAAAAGAATAATGAATTTTTGTGATTACATTACTTGGGACATTTTTTATTAAACGTATGGTGTCATTTTTGGGAAATAAATATTTGTAATCTATTATTAGAACGGAGTGTGAATAGTCCAGCTACAGTTGATAATTTTCTTTACTTCCATTCTTCAATCCGAAAGCTAATTTTCTCTAGAAAGCAAAACAGTTTCATAAAAGAAACATTGCGAAGAGGAATAAAGAGAGAATGGGCTGCAATGAAAGACCACGAGGAAAGGCCGCTTTTAACGCAGCGAACAGATAAGTAAAAACTTTGCAGAAAAACAGTACTACCACGCTTTTATTAGCATTTTTTCTCGGAGAAAAAATTTAAAATTTCTAGAGTATTTTATTCTCGGCGAGAATAATTTGCAGTCTTGACGAAAGCATTTCATGAGGTAATTTGCATGCCTAGCACAAGTGCGTGTGGTTAAGTACTCTTAATTTATTCAGTAGTTCTGATGTAAAAAACATCGCTGAATAAGTATGCTGTATTGTGTTTTGATTTAAGGGAAGGAGCAGGATTTTTATTTTACTGGTCGTGGTGAAACACGTAATAAAAACACTTTCAAGACCGTAAACGTCCTATCTCTTTTCTCTTCCTCCTAGTTTCCCACTTTATTTCCTTATCGTATAATTAATCAGGTCGTAAACCCGAAAATCTGTTCAAGAGGTTGATTATTTGCGGGAAGACCTCACCAGTAGTATTTGCGGTCGCTTGGAGGAGATTAGGGACTTGAGACTAAGAAAACAGTCCTGAAATAGTACTCTGAGGACTTCTTTTGAGGAGAAAATTTCACTTTAGACGAACGTATAATGCAAAGTGAAATTTAAGGAAGGAGAAATATCGTAGTACGAGAAACTTTACGGTAATTTCATTCCTAAAAGTGAATGCAGGAAATCGGCGCATACAAGTTTGTACTTACGACGTAAAGAGTAATGCTGCAGCGAACATTGTTATTCCCCCGGCCTGAATGAACTCATGGGCCTGCAAGTTAAAAAAATGACGTCGGTCTAATTTTCATTGAAATTCCTATTATTTATAATGGCAAAGTTCAATTTTTTTCGGATTTCTCCTACAATTAGAGTATTAATGACAAATATTCTTAACGTAATGAAATCTGTTCTTCAAAAAAAGAACTTGAAAAAGGTGTAAACGTTTTCAAAAACATGAGTAGTTTTCGTGTAATTTTACGTGAATCACAGGCAATTTTTAATCAGTTTCACTATCTCAAAACGGTTCCAAATTGCCTCTTCGAATGTATTAAAGGACGATAAAGAAAATTGGTTCTGGTCCATTTTCGGTACACTCTATGTATTTTCGAAAATTGGAAAAAAATATCAATACAAAAGTACAATTTTAGAAATAGAGATTTTTGTCTCAAATGGAATCTGCTCTACAAAATCAGATCTTTAAAAAACGTCATGTACCATTTCTTTTTTTGAAAACATGAGTAGTTTTTTGCGTAATTTCTGCTTGGATTTAATGCAGATTATACACAAAAAACGTTTTCTTAAAAACAGCTCCAAATTTATTACTTTCTACGGGTAGAGTAAAAGACGCTTAAAATATTGGCGCGAGTCCCATTTTCGTTTATTCTTTCGCATGTCCAGGCGGGTCAACAGCTATGATTATTAGTCCCATGAGTGTAGGGTGTGTGTTTACATGGTAGATGACGATGTACTTTTCTGGCTGGAGAAGGAATTGCAGTTCTGACCTACATGTTGCCTTGCAGGGGATACCGATCCAGGTACCTCCCAACAGCCTCAGCCAGGACTAGCTCAAAGCTCCTTATTGATCTCCCGATATGTATTGCAGAGTAGTGCATAAAAACGTAAGTGTGTGTAAGTAAGGGGTGAGGATAGGGCAAGGAAGAGGAAGGAAAGATGGCGCACGGTCCTTGACCCGTTTTCCAGAGTACCGTTGCGGCATTCGACTGACATTGCTCGGGAAAACCCATAAAACTACCGATCAGAGGATCCGTCTGTTAGAATTCTTCTCCAGACCGCAGCTGAACTTGATTCAGTTAATATCGAAAATCATGCCACCGTCGGAACTCGAACCCTAGAACGACGGGTTAGACCCACTGCAGTGACATGAGTTAATGCCCTCTGACTTGTTGAACCCTCTGAATTTTGAAGAATTGCGAAAGTTAGAAATAATGCGAGAAAGTATGTGCTGTTTTATGCACTGTGTTTTGTTGTTTGTTTTTCTTTGACAGGGCGACAATGGGGATACTCCCAAGGATCTTGGATGTTTTCTTATTTTCTTCCTCTTTCCAGCGTTCTGTGAGGTTTCGTGCCAGGATTCGTGGGGTGCGAAATGTTTGGGAGCTAAGACATGTGGATTGCAACTGAACGTGAAGATGGAGGCCCCCGATTGGTGTGTCCCCAGTGGGCTCGGAAGGGTTTCGCCTGACGCCGAATGTGGGGGGGGGGGGGCGGAAGATGGAGGGTCCCAGGAGGCGCAGCTCCAAGAAGCTGCCCAGGTGGGAGCGCGCCCTCGAAAAAGCTCTATGGGCTCCTACCGAATCTGCTTTAGAGGTCGTGACGACTCAAGATCTTCCGCGAATAGGTCTCGGTAATTCGTTCGGATATAATACAGTTTTTTTTTTCAACGGTATAGTTCTTTTTTACCCGCAGTTTACTGTTACTGTTGCTGTTACTTCCAAAATATCGGTATAAGGCGTCATTTATTGATAATTTTGGGTGTTTTATGTTTTGAACGTATGCGCTGGTATTACATTCCTTTATTTAAATATATTTTACTCTTCTCAAATAATATTTTTCTTATAATTTTACCTTACCGTAATATATTCTTCGATGCCCCTCCTCCGTATATCTGTTTGTTTTCTACTACGTCACCATTCGTTCCGCTTCTCCTGTCTATGCTTCTTTACCTTCTACTTCTTCTTCCTTTCATCCCCAGTGGCCCACCCTAAGGACGCGTGAAATGCGAAATCGCGCATGTCCGGCGGAAAGACAAGGTAGACTGGGTGATTTAGACTTGAGCTAGAGAAAGAAGCTACTGTAAATCTCATATTACTGGTGTATTCGGAAGATGGATTTTGGAGTGTCCTTTGTGTACATACATTATAATGTTTCTTCTTCTTCCTCTTCTTCCTCTTCTTCCTCTTCTTCCTCTTCTTCCTCTTCTTCCTCTTCCTCTTCTTCCTCTTCGTCTTCTTCTTCTTCTTCGTCTTCTTCTTCTTCTTCATCTTCTGCTTCGTCTTCTTCTTCATTGATAAATAATTCATAATAACGAAATTAAACAATATTTAATAATGCCAATTCTATGCATTCTTAGAGTGGGCAGTTGCCTGCATAAGATTCTGCCGTTGCGAATTGGAGCGCTAAAATGATTTCCGCTAGCTGTTCATCAGCAAGGAGACGGACGGGGCGAGCAGTTGCAAGCCCTATTGTAACGCGCGCGTGTGTGTGTGTGTGTGTGCGCAGGTGTCGTGGGCGCGACAGCAGGTGGCGCACTCGCGGCAGAAGCGGGACCTTCTGCCGCTGCGGCCGCGCCGGGGCCAGCCCGTCGCCCTCAACGACCCGCGCTGGCCGCAGATGTGGTACCTGGTGAGTAGCTCTTTTGCTTTTGTCCCCCCCCCCCCGCACAGTAACCCTGTGGAGAAGGGGGATTTATTTACTTTCAATTATGTACATTAAACTGCTGCCTTGCGGCTTAAGCAGCTAGAGGAGAGGATTTTTCTTACAGCTAAGTTTTACATACTAGTCCTAAAGTTAACTTACTTGCACTTTGGCATTACTAACTTACACTAAGATCAGTTTTGTTAATACAATAATTCTACAGAGTTTGTTATCTCACGGGCGAGACATTTTTTGTCTTCATTTTCACTACGTTCACACATCATTCGTAACTGTTTCATTATATACATAATCATTCATTCTTCCCATTCATTCGCAGCGGAGCTGCTCTCGCGCCCGGCAGAGGAGCGTTCGCAATCGCACTTGAACTTAGAGAGCGCTTCTCGCCCGCTTGGGAAGCCCCGCGCTTCCGGTGGCGCGAGCAGCTTCTCACTCCGCTGGCGTTTCCCCTCCGGACACAGAAAGAGATGTACATGCGACAATCGAAGCAGACAGTACAGAGGGGTGCCAAAAAAATATGCACGTTTCAAGAAAGAAAGAAAGAAAAAACATCTTTACATAACAGAGCTGATTTCACGGAAACAGATAATGATGGGCACTAATCATCTTAAGAGTTCTACATGTACAACCGTTACAACAGATGCTCCAAATGCCTACCATCACCGTCGATGCAGTTCTGAATAGTTGAACGAGCAACATCCTCATTGGGTAAGACGAATAGGTCGAATTGAGTTTCCACCATATTCTCCAGATCTAACTCCGTTGGATTTCTACTTATGGCGGAGTCATAAGAATGAAGTAAGCCTTGGAACATAAGCTACACTGTCAGCACTTCGGGAATAAATGGAAACGATAAGTACTGCATTCGCTGAGGACACTTTCGCAAATGTTGCTCGAACAATATTTCAACTAATACAAGTGTATTGACACCGATAGTGGGCATTTGGAGCATATGTTCTAATGGTTATACATGTATAAGTCTAAAATTATAGTGCTCATCATTTTCTGTTTGTGTGAATTCTGCCTTGTTATGATAAAACAGTTCTTTTTCTTTCTTGAAGTGTGTATATATTTTTTTGGTCTCCTCTGTATTTGCGCACAGCACGCTGGAAGTACGACAAAGAACAGTGGCTTCAGAAGTATATGTTTGCCTGATGTTTCCTACCAAATAAACGATATTTGGGTTCTGTTTGTGTATGTTTTAGTAAATTTTAATTTTCTTATTAAGTTCTGCCTTGTGTGAACATTTTGTGTTATGATTTAATAAATCATTGTGTTATTTCTCGTGTATAGCAAAAATATGAAATAACTTATCAAGTCTGTTTAAATTAACAATTCTCCCTTACCGGCGGCGAGCACTTTCAATAGACAAGAAGCATTGTCGGTTTAACCTCTATCTAACTTTAAATCCCTATTACAATGGTTCATTTCTTTGCTTTAGCAGAGGAAACGTGAATTAATATCGGTTTGATTTGATATTGATTTTATTAATATCGGACAACAACGTCAACTGACTTCTCGAAAAGACAGTCGTGGGCCACGTATCCAATATTGCACCGCTACACTCGAGCTAATTGTACAACCCTTACCCTTAAATCTCGTTCCAGTTGCTCTGAACGCAGTGGCGAGGAAATCCATACTCTCGTAGTAAGCTAGTTTCTTGCCTGCACTTTCTACGCCTGCGTATAAGCTGGAGGCCGTTTCATTCCACAGATGCATTCACATGGTGATGGTGACCATAAACGTAAACATAAAAGTCAACGTAAACAGGAGATGTAGTCGTGAATGTTTGCAAATTTCAAGTATTAATGTTCACGTAAACATGATTTCAGAACAACACAACGTCGTGTTTCGAAGCATAAAATGTCTATTGTTTTCGTTAGGCCGGCGTTAATGTGGTTCGTAAAAGCATCATTTGCCATGCATCGTAGTTTTTCACATCACACCAAGCACACTTGTTCCGCCCATTCTTCAAGAAATAATTGCCTCTCTAGAATGATCTGTCGTGTTATTGTACACATACTCCGAGCCGTACATTCATTGTATTGAATACTTTAGTATATCAATGAGTGATTTGCGTTCCCGGTCGTCGTGAATAAACATGTTTAAGTTACTAGTGAGCGTTTATGTCTATGCGTGTGTTAATGTTTACTTTATCGCTTTGTCGCTCTTACTTCGTAAGAAGAGACAGTATTTTAATTGTGCGCCGGAAAACGGCTTTCTTCGACAGAAAAACTCTTTTATTACCGAGCCCTGATAACAATAAGGTGGATTGTATCTGTTCGTAGAAAACTGCTTCCTGTAACACGTTGTGTAGTCAGAAATCATGACTTGTGGATCTTTAATACCGAATTATTGGTTTATGCCAAAACGACAGTCTAAACACTACTAGCGCCAAAAATAATTGTGGGATTTTCTCCGAAATTAATATTCTCTAGTCGATCTGTCTGGACTCGAAGCTCTGCTATTTTGAAAAAACATATTCTTGAGGGGTACTTGACATGAAGCCCTGTGACGTTTTCCAAAATTTCTCCAATATTTTTCTTAAAATGTCTTGTAATGGAGGAGTGAAATAAATTTTTAAATATGACATAGGTCTGATTTTTCAGTGTTAACTAAATTTCCGAAAATTACAAAGGTTTCAGTATTTTTGGCGTCTTGCTGCAACTACAATATTGAAGATAGCGATTGTTTAAAAATAAAGTTTGCTCTTCACAATTAGTTCTATCATTAACGTGATGTATCTTTTTTAAATATTTTATTCGTTTTTATTCGTTTACGGTTTATGTAATTTTGAGTGAAATATGGGCAAATATAAAATATTAGAAAAATATTAGAAACAATGTTATTTTAAAAAGGCTCCAAATTTGTTCTTCATTTTTGTAGAATTTATGCTTGATGACATAAAAGCCATTTTCCTCTATTTTTTTAAAATCTACCAAAATTTAATTTTGAGACATCTCTCTCGCCTCGTTAATATTTATATTAACAGCTACTTGTTTACGTTATTGAATTTGCGAATAGAATTGCTTGAAGTGATTTTTGACGAAGTTGCTTGATATCTCGAACGTTGTGGGTGAAAATGTACTTCAAAATGCGCATTTTCAGAATCGCTTAAACGATTTTTTTTAAACGGCTCAAAATGTATTAATAAAATGTGTATCGAAGCTGATTTTACGCTTCTATAATATTCTTATTCACATTTCAATATTCTTCTATTAGGTATCCGAAAAACTGAAGAAACGTGAAAATATGTGTTTTAGGCGCCAAGCCAAGGATAGCAGTTGAGAAGAGTGTGGTGAAGAGAAAGGTGAAACATAACTCAATAGATAGCTCAGACTTAAGATAAGGAACCTAACCAGAACGAGAAAATCGACACCATCCTGTTGCACCATTAGTTTTCGATTGTGGCAAATATGCTCGAAATGCACAATGTAGGATTCTTTTCACTTGGAACATAACTGTAAAAAATAATATTTGAAATTCCTCCTTTGCACCATTTGTATTTTGAAAATTACATTGCTACATTCATAAACTTTTCGTTACCTCCCTGTTTCTTACCCAATATTTCAAAAATTGGAGAATGAATATGTAACAAGACATTAGCAGCATTTCGTACTTTTACCTCCACTCTACGAATATTAATTAAAGTTTCCCTTTGTATATTGTAATAACACGTAGCTTTCGACGTAATGTTTCGCAGGAGGTTTCAATACCTTCAAAAAGCGCGCCATTCAGGGCTGATTGCGGAGGCTTCGTCATGCAAATGACGCCCCCGCGAACAACAGGCGGGAAGGTCCTTGACCGACATTGCACAGTTCGTGCTCTTTGCATTTGCAGCACGTTTTAAAACCTTCGTTGATACCAAGGATTTATGAACGAAGTTCTATTTGCTAATCGTCTGGATTTACAATTATACTCTTAGATATTTTTGAATAAAACCTGTGTATAAATATGTTGAAACACATCTACAACATATCGTGAATATAAAACATGGCCTACATAGACGAAAGCAGTGCGAATAAATTGCTGTGGCTCATTGGGCACATTCGGTCCTGCTGGGCTCCAACCAATGTTCGTTCTTATCTGGTAGTTTAAAATAAAGTTCGGACACAAACATCTAGTTGAAAATGTGATCAGTTACTCATCTACCCAGGCAAACGTATTGTTAGGTAAATAATTAAGGAATATTTAATACAAAAGACAATTTATAGAGGATTGTCGTGAAAAGATTGTTGTGGAGAATTCTCAACAACGGAACTTGCATGTCGGCGACGTTCGAGTGAGAAATTTGGAACATTTTGAAAACGGGCAGTTCTCTTCTTTTCCGTGCGAAGTGATTTAATTAAAAGGATGTGCTGCTCCTCGCTCGTGTGGATTTGAGAACGTCTTGTGTTTGTATATTTTCGAATGAATAAAAAATTCAATTTTTTCTTCTTGACGCATTGTTTTCCTTTCATTATACCTTTTTAGGCGATTTCGTTCTAAACTATAATTCATAATATTGCCTGTGAGATTGATACCTTATAATGAATTGAGAAAAATATCTAGGTATCCATATTTTCAATAGTACATACCTACAACCTAGATTGCGAAGCGATTGTTGTCAGGGATAATCTGAAAGTGGGCTGAATCTAATTTTCTCAAAGAATTATACTGTTTCGATTTCTACATTCATACCCTTGACAATATAATAAATGGTCCCGAATTGTAAAGATTTAATTTGTTAAGGAGAACTACATTGACCTGAAATCACTGAAGGCAAAACGAATAATACTTGAATTGACACAGCTAATCTTTCACGTTTAACGCGCAACCAAGGTTTCCTGGCTGTTCCAAGGAAAATCTAAACGAGGCTGTTAGTGGTAGTCGGTGTCTGTGTCCAATAATTGATGGTTCCGCGCTGTTGGCTGTTGTAACCTTTAACTTCGACTTGAAGTGATGCCAAAGACTTCATTCAGAGCGTGAGA